TCGTCCTCGTTTTCGTCTTCATTCTTGTCCTAATCCCTATTCTTGCCCTCATTCTCATCCTTATTCTCATCGTTATCGTCCTTACCTCGTCCTAAACCTCATCCTTATCCCCATCCTTATACTTCTTGTAATTTTTAGCTCTCTTGTTATTATTCTTCTTGCTATTTTTAATTGTTCATCCTTATCCTAAACGCTGTATGCATTCATCTTTATTTTATTGTTGTCATAAGTATCAGTACCACACCTTTGCTTTGTTGGCAGCAACTATTCTTCACTTTTTTTTTTCCCTTTTTCTAACAAAAAAGTCAGCAACGTTCAAAGAATAGGAAACTGTGGTAAATCTGTCGGTATGATTGCTTTGAAAAACAAAGATGATCATGAACCAACCTACACGGGTACAGGCTGGCTTGTTGCCAAGGAAGAAAGTGAATCTTATATAATGACTAATTATCATGTGATTTCCGCGATCAAGCAACGCAGGTCTCAAACTCAACGCGAAATCAAAGTAGTCATTCAGTTTGATTATCTGACAAAAGCCCAGCCAAGCTGTCCGGAATTTGAAGTCACGCAACAAGCTGTAATTTCCAATTTGGATTTGGATTACGCAGTATTGAAGGTTCAGAGCAACTGCCCTGGTATAGAGTGCTTAAAGGTTTGTACCCGTTGGCCTAATCCTAATAGCAATGTTACTGTTATTGGTCACCCAAAAGCCGAATCAAAGGCATGCATGTTTGGAAAGGTGTTGCATACACCACGTTCTTCAGAGACAGTCCGTAAATGGGTTGAGGACAGAACAAAACGATACTGTCCTCATGATCATTGTGATGGAAAGGAAACGGAAGTTGTTTGTGTCCACAATTATGAGAAGTGGCCCAAACTTGAAAGGCGAAAGGATTTTTTTATTGATTCATAACTGTTAAACAGGCCACGGGGTATCAGGTTCTCCGGTAGTAAATTACAATACCGAAGTTGTAGCTTTGCACAGTTGGGGTATGTTTTTGGGAAATGAACAGCAGCGTAAAAACCAGCACTTGAGTTTGCGCACTCAATTAACTTTATTGTCAAGGACATCAACGAAGAGAACGAGGATTTGGCACGCAAACTAAAATGTTACGGAATGAGGACTTAGTATCGGTTGTAAGTTATTTTTTGACCAAGAGATTAAATTCATCGAAAGATGTTACAAAAATTACTGTTTCATTTGTATAGGAAACAAAAGTAAAGTTATCAAGATCGAGTGCGTAGCACTGCTTTATAAATATACTAGAAAATACATGCATGCAGAAACCCTCGCCTTGCTGATTGTATTTTCGGAACATGAAGCATTTAAAGTGTTGTCATGGTAACACGAAAATTTTGTTAAGAATATTTCTAAATTGGAAAATGTTATGTTTTAAGACTTTATTAATACATACTAAACTTAATCTTAATTAACCAACATTGCGGACAGTTACTTTTATATCATGCTACTCACCAGAAGTCTCAACTGTGGGCTCATACACTGTTCTTCATGTAGTAAAATGTATATTATTAAACCTACTACAGACCATCACAAATCTCCTCTTGGTGTAAATGCTGACGATTTTCATAATTAAAATAACTAATATATTTCTAATCAATAAATACAGAATACTTAACTAAACATATTATATCAATCAATTCTGATCGTTCTACTTGATCTTCTTGGTTTAATGGTGGGAGACTTGACAATAGGGAGTTTGGCAAATAATACATTATCCCTTCTGCTGTCTTATTAGCATTAAGGTATGGGTATCTCCTGTCGAACTAACAACAGAAGAGTAGCGTTGGTACCAACAAGCCGGCAGGAGAGCCATGTGTGGAAGGGTGAAACAATTTCTCACTTGTGAGCGTCATGTTGCCAACTGACACCCTTACATAATTTGTTTAGTTTTTTTAATACTAATACGCCATCACGAGGGATCATGAATATTCACTGACGTTTGAATAGTACATTATCCCTCCTGCTGCCTTATTAGCATTCCTCCCCAATCCTCCCCAATCCTAATTCCTCTTCCTAAATGAGGTTAGTTACAATTAATCCTCGCTGTAATTGGGAAGTGAACCTCCCAATCTCAGTACCTACTCCATCTGTAAATAATAAGGTCTTGTTTTCCAGATTTTTGAGCAGATACGATTTGCAATGCTGGCTCCAAATACTTTCGTCCACTTCACATACTACATGGCAAGTGACCTTTCTCGAATTCTTGACGCAATCTAAATGCATATCCGCCCATTGTTGGACATACATTGACAGATGTGCCGTCCTTAGATATTCTCCCCGTCTCCGCTCCACAGACGAGAGAAACCTAGTTTGTTTGCTTTCTTCCTTCAAACGTTTTCTATTGCATCTAGAAGTTTATGTGTGTCGAACCCATCCGAACCGAGGGTTCCACACGGTTACGTGTACTGCTGTGCCATAATACAAGAATCCTGTTCCACTTGTAGAAGTGTACACAAACCGTAGTTACTGTCTGGGCAGTGACACGCAACCAGAAAACCGCCACTCAGACTCAATTAATGGACAGTGTCTAGTACCACCCGGATGGGAACCTGACCTCGGAGAAGCTGACAACTACTGCTAAATTGAGCAACAAGGAATGACCTAGTAGCCAAAACGCTTGCGTCGTCATCTCTCTTCACTCAGAAATTAGTCATAGCAAAAAGGGCAACAATTGCCCGCACTTTTGGTGTACATGATGCTAGGAACTGAAACCACCCAATGGTCAAATGAAGATATATATATTCATATCTCTCAAATGATTCCATCCGATTTCTTAGCCCCTCCGTAGACCATACACCCTGCCTCCTCCTACCACTGTAGATGCTGTACTCCTATTTGATTTTCCCGGACCTGCTACAGGTGGAAATGCGCTGGCTGACTACACGTGCAACATTAGATGTTGGCATCCTGCAGGCTGCTATTGCATGACAAAAAATTGGATGCCTTTGCACGAAATAAAACTCGCCTTGGCTCCTCTATTTCGGACGACCTTATGAGTATCGACGGTTACGATATACTGCGCTCTGATCGAAAACGAAATGGAGGGGGAGTATGTATATACGTTAGGTGTCATGTAAACTATGAAAACCGTCCACGTTTAATTCCAAACGATCTAGAAGCCGTTTGTTTGGAAATAAAACAAGCCAATAGTAAGTCTTTTATTTTTTCGAGTGTTTATAGAACACCAAATACTACTGTTGAGACCTTTTCAAAAATTGAAAGGCAAATTCATCTAGTGGACAATGAAAACAAAGAAGTTTACACGTTAGGTGATCTGAACTGTAATCTACTCGATTGAAATTTTTCGAATGTTAAAATGCTTCAGGAAATAGTGCAACTGTACCAATTAACACAAATAATTGATGATCCTACACGTGTTACTAAATCTACAAAATCAATACTTGATGTTTGCATTATTTCCTCTCCGGATAAAATTATTCAATCAGGCGTGGTGCATCTCTGTATAAGTGATTATAGTTTAATCTATATGCAACTTTTAGAGGAAATTAAAGAAAATTCTCAAAATTCGGTTGAATTAGAAACTTTAGGAAATTTAATGTTGAAAGCTTTCTTAGAGACTTGTATATGCTTCCATGGGTAGAGCTTGACTGCAAACAAAACGTGGATGAAATGTGGGAATGCTGGAAAACCCTATTTCTTCAAGTGCTTTACAAACACGCACCGAAGAGGTAAAAAAGATTAAGGAAAAAGGGTAATGTTCCCTGGTTCAATAAAACTGTTAAAAAATAAGTTGTTTTAGAGAGACCGTTTTAAGCGCGTAGCAATAAAAACCAATAATGAAAATGATTGGAAGCTGTACAAGTCGTCTCGAAATGCTGCAAAATTGACTTGCGAAATGCTAAAAGGGAATACTATGCAACAAAATTCCTCAATAACGAAACGAACCCAAAACATGCGTGGAAAACAGTTAATGAGATATTAGGAAGAAGTCAGAAGCAAAATATTGTTAATGAAATTAATTTACCAGAGAAAACAGTCACATCAACTGGTGAACTGGTTAAGGTTTTTAATGACTATTTTACCGATGTTGGTCCTAAGGGACCGCTCATTATTTATTGTACAGGGGGGATTGAGGAGAAACTGGGGCGGGGAACTTCAAATTTTTTAAATCCTGAAAGGCGGGGCTTTGTAAAAATACAGAAAGATGAAAGAAGGGTGGCTTTGAAAAGATTTACCAGTTTGAAAAAAACATTAGTAGTAAGTTTTAAAAATGTATCACAAAACAACTTAACAACAAATAACAATGTTTATAGATCTTTAATATTCATAAATGGAAGCCAAATAAAAAGTCTCTTATGTTCATGTAAATACTAGACAATTCCCATGCATTTAGACTAATTGTAAAACTAGGCAAAGAGATGCAAATCAAGGCCGGATTTTGGTGAAAATAGTGGGGGATGTGGAAAAAATGTTAGGGGGGAGGTGCAGCGGTCTAGCTCACAACCCCCATGGAAAGTTATTGCTTATTGTAGAACAGGCCAATATCAACGAGGTGAGGTATGCATGTAGTGTACATAGGTACCAGTGTATTAATGAATTATGAATGTATGACTCCAATCTTGCCCTAATCATTACAATTGCTACAAAGTTTCTTTCAAAACATTGCATTAAAAGGGTACTTGACACAGAGATGAATGGCTATCACTGTTTCAATTTTACAGAGAAAACGTTCTTTTGTCACAACGTGTGGATCCTAAGCAACCATCACATTTTCCCTTTGTTCCATGATTGAAACTAATTCCCAAGGGGAGAAGGGGAGATGCATGACCTTTCAGGAGAGGTGCAAAAATTCTCAGGGGAGGTGCAAAACGATCTCAGGGGATGTGCACACATCTCCACACCTCGCCTCAAAATCCAGCCTTTGGATGAAAATAAATCACCACAGCTAGAAAGAGCATACTAAAATAAGTAAATTATTGCAAAGTTTGGTTGCGTAATGTTGTAAAATACGGAAAATATAGCCTTGCAAAATTTGCAAATTTTGTATACTTTCGTATTGCATGCGAAAATTGCAATACAAAAGTATACAAAATTTGCAAACTTTGGAAGGCTATATTTTTTACATTTTACAACATTTCGCAACCAAACTTTGCAATTTTACTAATAATAGTATGCCCTTCCGGTAATTTACTTATTTTTGCTAAGATAAAAAATTAGTCTATAATGGCCGGGAATTGCCTATTGGTCCCCATTGTCTATTTTTGTTTCTCTAAATAAAGAGCTAGAGTTTTTGTTTCTCTAAATAAAGATAAAGAGCTAGAGGGGGGGACCAAATTTGGTGTTCTTGTTTTGCCTGTTGGGGGGTGGGGGCTTTGAAATTTTACTTGTTTTAAGAGGGGGCAAAGAAAAAATAATATAACTGTAGAGTTTCTCCTCAGTCTCCCCCTGTACAATAAATAATGAGCAGTCCCTAAACATGCTGAAAAAAATGAATACGAACACAACTGTAGATTTCGAGATTTCATTCCTCAACATGAACCAGTTGAGAGATTTATTTTCCAACGTGTAAATGTTGCAACAGTTTATAGGCTTATAACCAAATTAACTATCTCCAAAGCTACAGGTATTGACGAAATTTCAGCCAAAGTACTAAAGGCTGCAGCTCCTGCTATTGCAGAGCCTTTAACATGGATTTTTGATATGTCTATTGCCACTGACAGATTCCTGATGGAGTGGAAAGTAGCACGAGTAACTCAATTTTTAAAAAAGGCCAACGGACTATGCTAGACAACTATAGACCAATCTCAATTTTACCTGTGGTCAGCAAACTGATGGAAAGGATTCTGTACGACCAAATGTATGATTATTTAAAGAAACAGAATATTCTATATCGTTGCCAGAGATTTGCCAGGCGGAAAACGAATTATTATGATAAATATCAGAGCCCAACATATAACTTTTAACAAAGCCATTAAAACAGTTAAGATTTTAAAGAATTTTTATTGTAACGTTTCGTCTTTATATTCAAATCTCATATATTCAACACTCATATATTCTGAAGATGTCTTAAGTTAAAGACGAAACTTTACAATAAAAATTCATTAAATCTTAACTGTTTTAATGGCTTTGTTAAAAGTTATATGTTGGGCTCTGATATTTATCACAGAATATTCTTTCAGAACATCAGTTTGGTTTTAGACAATTTCATTCCACAACTACCACACCTTTAGATTGTACTAATGAATGGTATATAAAAATGGACCGTGGCCTATACAACATAGTTGTTTTTCTGGATTTAAAGAAAGCATTCGATACTGTCAACCATGAAATTCTTTTACGTAAGTTCGAACGGTATGGCTTTGGTAATAAAGCCCTAGATTTACTAAGTAATTACTTAACAAATCGAACACAGAGATGTCAGCTAAATGGAATGCTTTCAGATCAGAGAGGAATAACTTGCGCCATTCCTCAGCCCTCTTCTGGTTATTATCTATATAAATGATTTGCCAAATTGTCTCAAACATACAACACCAAGGATGTTTCAGCAGATGTTACGGCTGTGGGCAAAACATCAAGCAGAAGAGATAGGGAATAAGGACTTGAAAAATGTTTATTAAAGTGTGGTTGTCTTCAAACAAACTTAGCTTAAATATTGCGGAAACGGAATATATTTTGATTAGATCACGCCCTAAGATTAATAGCATGGATGTCCAACCCACAGTTAAGATCGACACATGTCCATTCAAAAGAGTAAAATGCGCAAAAGTGCTAGGAGTTGAAATCGATGAGAACCTAAACTGGGAAAAACATATTGAATATATCGCTAGTAAAGTATCTTCGGGGATTGGTGCGTTAAAAAAACTTAAAAAATTGTACGTAGACCGAGATACATTAGTGTTGATGTACAATGCATTGATCCAGCTGCATTTTGATTACTGTTGTGAGGTTTGGGATGAGCTTGCCAAAGGCCTCGGCGAACGTCTTCAAAAATTGCAAAATCGAGCGGCTAGATTAATTATGAATTTTTAAAATGAGCATGGACAGTCTATCTTAGCTCGTACTGCTCTCGGTTGGACATCTCTTGAAGAACGTAGAGCATTAATGAATGCCAAACTCATGTACAAAACAGTAAATCAATTAGCTCCACAAAGACTATTTAACATTTTCCAATTTCCAACGCTGTTAATAGTTATTATCTAAGAGGTTCTTCAACTGGGCTTTTTATTCCAAGGCCCAGGACGGAATTTTTTAAAAAAGTTTCAGTTCAATGGGGCTAAATTATGGAATAGAATACAAGAAAATATTCGAAATTTGATATCTTACAACTCGTTTTGTAAAAACCTTTTCTCCTCGGCCTCCCAATTATTAAGTTAAATTAAGTAGTTTAGTTAAGTGAATATTTAACAGCATTTAAATAATAATAGTTTGTATGTATTAGTAAATTAGTCTTAAAATTGTAATAGTTAGCCAGCACACCTCTCATGGAAATCAGCATAATGTTGAATGAGATTAGTGTGCCTAAATAAAGTTTATCTATCTATCTATCTATCTATCTATCTATCTATCTATCTATCTATCTATCTATCTATCTATCTATCTATCTAACCCGCGGGCCAAGCGTGTCCCGTTTCCACTTACCTGGGTTAGCACGATTAAACAAACGTGCCTTACACCTGCCTTAGCCATGCTTGGTTAATTTTGCTGTATATATAAGCGAAATTATTTTGCTTCCTAGACTTAACCTCACACGCACTGACTGTAATGATGTGCTACCCCACAACCGGTTGCCCTCTTATTCGACGGTTTGAGCACTACCAAAGCCACGTTAGGATCACTAAGACCTGCTGGCTTGTGAGAAAACAAGTTAGCCCACAGACGGCGCATCACGATTTTCTGGTATGTAAACAAGTGAGCCCAAAGGCGGCACATCATGATTTCGATCATGTAAAACACACGAGCCCAACGAAATTTTTCCTTTTCCTATAATTACACGATGCCTCGCGCTTTCGATTGTGTAAACATGTGCAATCACATATCTCATCCCGTTTCTCCCCGTAAACACGTGAACCCACACAGCGTATCACGATTTTGTCTTATGTAATCCCGTGACCCACACAGGACATCAAGATTTAAATACTCAATAGCCGTGAGCCCAAACAGTAATCACGGTTTCTATATATACGCCATGGTCATGAGCCCACACTAAAGGCGTTAGATCGTGATTAACTACGGAATACACTTGTTGCTGTAAAAGGACGCCTAACCCTAAGCGTGAACGCAATCATATTGGACTCCTTTGGAGGTCGAGAGAGCCCATTAAGCCTGCCCGTTACTAAAATTGTCGAATTAAGACTTGTACTCATTCCTACAACTAATCATACCCAAATATGATCGATTTCACACATACTTCGTACGGCAGTTCTTCACTGGCAACAACCTTGGTGTTTCGTAACTCCACGTTCGATCGTGAAGCGATATAAGTCTTGCAGATTGTGGCTTTAGCACGGTTGTTAGTGTTTGCAGTAGAATCATCTTGCCAGCTTTTGAATTCACCTTTGTTAAATGTTGTTCGGAATGATGTAGGCATATGGGTCAAAAGTATGCGAGGACGCGCTGGACCCACCTTGGTAATACAATTTCTCACTTGTGAGCGTCCTGTTGCTCACTGGCACCCTTACATAACTAGTTTCGTCATTTACAATGCCAATGACGTCATCGCGAGGGATTATTAATCAAAGAGTGTGATGTTGGTGGACTATCCCGCAAAAGCTGATTGATATGGCGATTCCAAAATCTTCTGTCTGGTAATGGTATGAGATTTTAGTGAGGTCCCTTTGTTTCAAGAATGGTTGCGTGTTGCCGTTTACCATTTGTATAGGTAATCATGCGATGGCGAGTACAATTAGGGATAAATAGTACGAGTGATGTTTGGAAATTTTGCCAAAATTGTACGAGCCGCCGGAACGAGTGCAATTTGGCAAATTTCCAAACAGCACGAGTATTATTAATCCCTAATTGTACGAGCAACATCGCATGATGATTTGTTTATTATTAGCATGAAAAAACTGGATACTAGCATGACAAAATTGGATGCTCAATGTCAACATCTTATTCTCTCGCCAAAGCCCAGTTCTGCCAGACTTTCAACCAAAATTTTGTGCATTTATTCGTATTTTCATTTAGTTCTTTTGTTAAAGCAAAATTAGGTGCTTTTGTTCGTATTTTCATGTAGTTTTTCTTGGGCAATTTCAGTTCACGTTTGTGTTTAAAATACTTTTCCGCCATTTTGTTTGTTTTGAAAAAATCATTAATTGTACTGCAGTACAATTAATGATGTTAATAGAACGAATAGGAGTGCTATTAATGCCATAATCGTACGAGTGATTACAAAATCAACCGACCGCGTAGCGGGAGGTTGATTTGTTAATCACGAGTATTATTATGGCATTATTAGTACGACTTAATTCGTTCTATTACTTATTAATTATTTATCTGCTGTAATCAAGCTGTTTAAGGGGGAAAAGCACAAAAATACAATTTGTTGAAATTCAAAATAATTATTAAATTTTTGTCACGACAATTCTTAGTGAAATAGTACAATTTTGAATTAAATTTATCATAATCAAATTAACATATTATTAACTTCCGGGTATTATTTCCGATATAATCACATGACAGGGTATTATTTCCGGTATAATCGTTCTATCTAATATTACAAAAGAACCCTTAACGCGTAACCGCAAGCAATCTATTAATTTGAATAAAAACAGTTTGAGTTCACCTCGAAATATCGATAACAATCTACCTCACGATAACCAACAATATGTTAGTCCGTCCGTAAGTAATAATGATTTTACGGCAGACGTGCCTCAAACTAAACAGAAAGTAGATCTTACGGCAGACGATCGTATGGCAGACGAGTCCCAGCCTAATCCCCTAATTAAACAGAAAGTAGATCTTACGGCAGACGAGCCTCTGCCAAAACCCTTAATCGCCCAGAATAAAGACATTAACTTACCCAAGAACGGGAATTCAAACTCGAAAACAAAATTTAACCGCGTCAGTAACGAAGATAAAAATAACAAGTACGTCAACTCTCCCAAAAGCTCTATCCCTTGCCCCCTTTCTATCCCGCCGAGGATGGTGCGCTAAAGGGAACAGTTGTGATTTTCAGCATAAAGAGCCTGGTCGTGACAAATACAAAATATCCTGTCCTTTTCTACGAAGGAATGGTTTTTGTTTGAAAGGGGATCGATGTGATTATTCTCATATCGGTTTTTCTCATGGTATGGTGGCTCCCAGACCCAGGATGAACGCCACTGCTTATCCAAGTTCTTCCCTACATACCCCTATCTATCAATGTGCTCCTCCTTTTCAACCAGATACGAGACACAACACAAGGTCACTTTTTTTGTCCCATTCCCCCTGGTCTATGATTCCTCCTTTTCCCCCTCCCCCACTGATGAATGCTCTTACTTGGCCCCCGCTGACATACTGAACATCCACGATCATAAACTCATGACATCTCCCCCTTATCAGGAAAACCTACAAAACATAACGGTTAGAATCACAAACAGAAGTTTTAACAAATCTTATAAAATACCCCCAAGAACACACGGTAATTTAATTACTGTCTCATTTAAAACCCAAAATGAGAACAAAAAGACGTTCGTGCCCAAAATATTACTCACAAACACCATGTCACTCACCCCTAAAATTGACGAAGTCGCTTGTTTTATGAAAATTTACAATCCAGACGCTGCTTGTATCACCGAAACTTGGCTCCATGGATCAATTGACGAATCGTGTCTTTATATAGATGGATATAATTTCATCTTCAAAAACCGTTCAGTGAGCTGTCATGGAGGTGTGGGTTTATATATTAAGAACTCAATATCCTTTGAATGTTTAGACCATCTACGGCATCCCTTGTTAGAGCTTCTCTGGGTACGTCTTACTCCCAAAAGATTACCCCGCGGATTTACCTGTCTTCTAATTGGCGTAATATACCACCCTCCACGCGCCGATGATCATGAAATGCTCAGTTACTTTTCAATATCACTTACCACCATTGAAAGCGATTATCCAGGCTGTGGTCTAATGTTATCAAGAGACTTCAACCAATTAAAAGTTAACCGTCCACTAAACCAGTTTCAATGCAAGCAAATGGTCAATGTTTCTACCAGAGCTGACAAGACTCTTGATCTAATTATTACCAACTTATACTCGTTTTACGCTAAAGAATCTGTAGAGAAACATCCTCCCTTTGGCCTCTCAGATCACAATGTGGTCATTCTAAACCCTAAAAACAGACGCGATAAATCAGGTAGTCGAAAGGTCGTCATAAGTAGAGACATGCGTCCCAGTAAAAAGAGCGAACTCGGAAGATACCTAACCTCCTGTAATTGGTCCATCCTAAATCATCTCGAAACCAGTGAAGAAAAACTTGAGCTTTTCACTGATCTTATTAACCTGGGTATCAATATCCTAATGCCCAAAAGAAGAATAACACTACATGTGAATGATCCCCCTTGGATCACAGCTAATTTTAAGATTCTTATAAAAAAACGCCAAGCAGCATTTTCTAACGGCAATAACGAACTGTTTAGGTATAACCGCAACCGAGTTAATCGCGAAAGAAAAAAATGCCGTGAAAAGTTTTATTCGTTGAAGGTTGAACATCTAAAAAAGTCAAAACCAAGTCGTTGGTGGAAAGAAGTAAAACAGATTGCTGGTATGACCCCCTCAACGGGAGCGGAAGATCTATATAACCAAATTCACATTGACGATTTTGACAGGAAGT